AATTTAACATGACCTTTGGTATTAGAGCCTAACTTTAGATAACTATATTTGTGTTTCTAAATATATAGTGAGCTTAAGTAAAAATTTTCAATAATAAAGGTTAATTCTTGAGATTAAGTTATTTGGTATGAGAGAATAAAACTATGTTTTTCCATCTTAAGTAACGGAATTTGTATTTGAATTTACATCAATTTACAAGTCTTGAGAAGGAGTCCCCGCGCTCTTTCAATCGACTAAGCTAATCGTATGTTTTCTATATAGGAGGATGTCTAAAACAACTAGGGTGTTAGAGGCTTCTCAAACCCAGAGGGTGGTATATATCCTTTGTGTGGTAGTTCTAAACATATAGCTGGATCCCTCTCCTCTTCTCTTTTCCAGCGGCATCTTTTTCATTGAATTGGCGAGTATAAGTCCCCCCTTTAATTATTCTACCCCTTGGAGAGTGGTAGGGAATTAAAGTATTCTCTCCTTTGGCTTTTGGGCTACCGAGATTCTCTTGGACAATGTAATTCATTGATTGCTGGCAAGAGGTTCTTGTTTGGCTTGGGTCAACTAACTTCATAACCAGGTAGACTTAGGGCCTCCATAACTTGGGATGACAAATCCAAGGTATCCTGACTAAGGTACCTCTACCTGCTTGGGGATTCCTCACCTTTCATGTATCATTGACATCATTTCGTGAGCCTCGCATGCCTATGCGTCATCGCTTATAGTGGATACGGAGATTCACCTTGTTCCTTATGACCCTATAAAGATGTAGAAAGCATCGAGATTCTCCTGCATCAGATGATTTAAATCCTTTGATTTCCCAAAAAATCAAATAAAAAAAATATGTGAGCAAGACTTTTTATATTGAGAGTATTCTTGGGCATCCCCCACAATGTAATTAATTAAAGAAATACATTCCTTTAGGAGCTGCTCTTGACCCAAAATAAGCATAAAAACTTGATTCTCTGGTTGTGGGTTTCTTTCATAGAGTTTTTTTTTGTGGATATGTTTCCAAAGCATTTTTTATTCAAACTTGTTTCAGAAGTATGCTCTTGGGCTATCGCGCGAAGGTTACTTTATAAAAGTTCTCCACGTTCTTTTTAAATTGTGTCTTATTTCATCGTATTTTCATTCTCTCCGGTACATCTCAAAAGAGAGACTTATTTAGGAAAAGAGTTATACGACGATGATAAAACAAGCTGGCCACTCCAAAAAGCTTAACTAAAAAAGAATGAAAACAAGGAATGACATTTATCTCTATTTTGGGATTGCAACATGAGACCTTTGTTCTGTCATTTCTGAGTAGGGTTTGCAGTTTTGGAGAACTAAAGTTCCAAAATATACTTTAGTCTTCTTCTACCATAATCCTAGTGAGGTGAGGATGCTACAAAACGAATCAACGAACATGATAGACTTGTAGTATGGACCACTGATATAAATTTGGCGGCTGCGGCTACAAATTTCAAATTGCTAGGTTTAACAAACTGATAAAAGTGATTTCAAAGATAAAAAAAGAAGATGAAAATAATAATAATAATAAAGATTGGATATTATTTATTCAATGTTTGTTGGAGAACCGAAAAAGAAGAAAATAATTAAAAACCTTTGGAAAGAAGTCGAAACAAGTCTTTGTCTCAGATCAAAGAAAGCATCTCTAAGTGATTTATGAGAGCTGTCCCAACGTGAGAAGAAAAGCAGAAGAAATTAATGGGGTGAAAGCAATCCTTCAGATGGCTATGCATGGGTAGTTTCAAATGAAGAAGAAAGGCATTGGAGATGGATTCAAGGAGGTTCAAAAAAATGAAATTTGAGGAAGAAGATAATTATACCCTGGGTAAAGAGTTCCTCAGCCGAATGTAACTAGGAAAAAAATAAACTTATTTTTTACTTTTGTAGATAATATCCTAATTTTTAGTATTTTTAAGAAATGAATCTTATATTTCATAGTTAAATAATTTTGAACATTAATTACTGTTAAATTATGAAATAATATGTTAATATATCAAACAAATTTAATAGATTTAATTTTAACTCAATGCTACATTTAACATGGAATCGAGAATTTATCAATTTTCTTTGTATTTAAATTTTATTTTTAATAAATAATTTAATAAAATTAGTTATGATAGTTATAATTTACAAAGAGTCCCTTCTATTAAAAAATCATAAATAATTATATTTAAAAACACATAATTTTTTTTATTAAAACTCTAGTATTATTTTATTGATCGCAATTTTATAACACGAATCCTTTTCAATTTAAAGAATTTTTATAAAAGGAGCCCTCTCAAACAAAGTTTGACCGTCTGGAGTAAATTTAGTAAGTATACTTTCTACTTTACTGGCAAGCCGCTCACATCCAAGCCTCTGATCATGCCATGTCAGCTTGATAAACCCCTTTCTGTTTTTTTCATTTTAAATTAAAAACACCATGTTTTCCGCCGGCTCGCTGTGCGCTCTCACTGAGCGGAGCTCTTTACTCTGCTTTAGTTAATGGCGGATTACCCTTTCGTCGCTTCGATTGGAGTGGAATAATCAGCGGCAAGGGAGCAACGGCCATACCATAGTGCTATCTTCCCCTTCTTTCTCCTCCGCGATTTTCTTTCTCTAGATGGGTTCTCTGGAGAAGAACGCCTCGCTAAAGCGAACATCGCTGCTTAACTCTGCGAGCCAATGCCGTTCGTTCTTCCACCGACCGAGATCCAGACTTGCCCGCTTCCTTTTTCTCGTGAGGGTGGACTTTCTCCAATGGATTCTCACTGCAGCGGCGTTTTTCTTCGTTGTCATTATCTTCCAGACTTTCCTTCCCGGCTCCGTTTCGGATAAATCTCATGCCAGAAGTATTGTTGACGGGAGTCACGAACCTTTACTGTTGGATTTCCCGGATTTGGAGTTCGGGGAGGGGATACGGTTCGTGCCGGCCGAACTTCTGGAGAGGATCGAGAAGGAGCGGAAAGAGGCGAATTCTGCTTTAATGGCGTTAGGAAGGCCACTGAAGCGGGCGGGGATTATAAAACCGCGACTGGCACTGGTTGGTTTCTCGCTTTCGTTTTTTCTGGTTTCTTGATTGCATTCTTTCTTTCTTGGCAGTACAAGTGTTAATTGAGGTTGTGGCTTTGCGTGAATCTTGCGTGACAGATAGTTGGAGGGCTTTCACCGGATGCCATGCAGCTGCAGATGATCAGCATTGCTGCTGCTTTGATGGAGATGGGATACGCGATAGAGGTATGTGTTTGAGTGAGATACGTGTTCTTGAATTATTGTGCTGGAATGTGGATAATGTTGAGGTTTCATTGTAATTATATTGTGCGAAATATTTGGGATTTTTTTTTAAATCGGATCCCTACTTTAAAATTCTTTGCATCCTGAAATAGTTCTCTTAGTTTAATTATAGTTGTGCGAAATAAGTTCTCTTAGTGTTGAATCCTAAGTTGTCTTTTGCGAGCACGCCTCGACAGTTAGAGCCGGGAGGAGGAGGAGGATGGATAGATAGATTAATTAGGCAAATTCAAGGGAAATTGGGAAAAAATTCCTTTTATTCGTCCCTTTACCTCCTATTTATAAATACGTATCTATGCAATTACAGAAATGAGAGAAGAATTATGAAACCACCCTTAATGTGATTAATTGTGCTGATCTTATATTAAATCTGTATTACAAATTGAATTTGAATATGGTGGTAACCAGCTGGTCGAGTCGTTTGGATTCAAACTACTGAGATGACCGATCGAATGATGATCGTGCCTGTCGAAGCAAAAGTTGATAGGTTGACTGATTGCGATCGGACGCCCTTATATGGAGTTTGGGCAGTTGGGGCTGTAGGCGTGGTTCGTTGATTGAGTCTCTTGCCATAGTGTGCGGTTGACTCCTACTGAGTGGTTGGTTCTTGAATGAACTGTTCGGATTGTGCTCTTTTGAACTGACGCCCCAATTACTCGGACACTATCCTGGGCCACTCGATTGCTTTGAGATTCGTGTCAGTAGTTCTAGCGTATATATATTAGTTCCCTGAGTTATTCTGCTCTTTAACAGTGATAGCTACAGTAAGGACTGAGAAATTTTTTAATAATCAACGGCGCAAAAATCCATAAACATAATTTGATAACTAACTTTCCTTTGAATTTTGTGCTCAGTGTGCTCTATAAATAAAGTCATAGGCATGACATGACATCCATCACCGTTATTTTTCTCAGTTAACCGAGTTGCATCATGGCTGGTGGGTTGGTGGGGGTGAACCTATGGATCACCGTTAACCCCGAAATTCTTGCCAAGGCGGGCTACGGACCCTCAGTCTCTTCAAAGAAGGACGAGGCTAAGAAAAGGAAACGATCGAGGTTCGAACCTTCGTCAGCTGATCAAGTCGATTCAGCTGGGGATCTCGAGGGGCGAATGCCGAAAGTCCCTCCTTAGAAGGCCGCGACCCTTGACTCTAGCATGTGCGTAAGTGCTGAGCAGACCCTGCTCGTTGAAGCTGTTGAGGTTTTCAGAAAGGAGTTGGTAGGAGTAGCGACCATCGTCTCTCCTCAACTGCAACTACGGGATGGTGGAGGTACATCGGCTCGAGAGGGAGAGAAACCCTTTAAGACCCTTCTTCTATAGATAAGTTTTTGGGTATGTAAAACCTTCCTTGGTTGTTGATGTTCTCAACAATTTTTGACATTGTTCTAATGAAGATGAATTGATCAAGTCGGAAGATCGTCAAGACAGTGGGTCGACAAAGGATGTTGTGTAGTCTGCCCCCGCTGCAGTGGCTGGTCTGCTGACCGAATATTGGGGGCTTCTGCCGGCAATCACTTCGGAAGGGCGCCCGTCCCCCGCCCTTGTCCGCATCCGTCTCTGAACGGGAGTGAATAGAGTGGCGATCGTCTTCCTTTGGAGCCATGTAACATATTTGTTGCCCTCCCCTTTCACTCATACGACTTGAGTGTGGTGAGTGTTATCGCTCGATCTTTGATCGCCTTGCGGTCAGGATCGAGGGTCCACAACGTATAATCGAACTCAGTGCGATCGAGAGGAGTTCCCCGAGCGTCGATGGGACCTGTGAGTCGATCAAACAGAATTAGCCAATAAAATAATTGATGGATTTAAATTTACATATTGACGACAACACTACTTTCATGTTTACATAAAAAATTTCAAGGAAAAATTTCTTCAAATCGTCTCCACTCTAAGTCCGAGAGAGTTCTTTTTCGACGTATTGTATGAGTTGGTAAGTACTAGCTGTGATTCGCTGGCTGACTATATATGGGTCGCTTCAACTCTGATCCAGCTTGCCGCTGCTTTCCCTTGGGTGGTTGGATCGACCTTCTTTAGTACCTAGTCTCTTGGAACAAAGGTCTTCTCTCGGATATGCCTATTGAAATAGCGAGTGGTCCGCCTCTTCAATTCTTCCTCTCGAATTGCTGAATTGGTTCGCTTTTCTTCTGCCACTTCGATGGCTAGCATTGCACCCTTGATTTTTGCTTCTTTCCAGCCACTCGACCAGGTCTTCTTCTACGAATGATGTGGCCGTAGCCACCCTCTGGCTATGATGGCTGTACTCTACTAATAACACCACCTCCATTTCCTTTGTCAGCATGAACATGGTTTGGCCAGTTGCTGACGACGGTTTAGTCCGGATCATCTAAAGCACAGGCGGCAGTAGGTATGCCATGCCCAGTTTTTGTTGGATCCTTCGACTTTCTTCGTTAGCAAGTTCCGTATGATCTGGTTGGCTGTTTCAGCTTGCCTGTTTGTCTGAGGGTGATGGACCAAAGTAAATTTGAGATCAGCTCTTTGATTCACATGGAACCTCTTACTCGCTGATCTGAAAATTGTGTCCTATTGTCGGTAATGATGACTAACGATAATCTGTATCTTCATATGAGATCCAACCAGATGAAGTTCCTTACCACCTCAGCGGTGATTTGAGCAAGTGGTTTATCCTCGATCCACTTAGAAAAATAATTGACCGCTACTATTAGGATTTGGCGTTGGCTCTTAAATTTGGGGAAAGGGCCTAGGATGTCCATAACCCAAATGGCGAATGATCAAGGCTACTTCTTGCGTGCTGGTTGATGATGTTGGGGCATGCACTTCTGATATTGCTCACATTTCCAAGAAAATTCTTCGGCATCCTTGAGTTGTGTTTGCCAGAAGTAGCCTTGTCGTTGTATCCGATAGGCATAAGTTTTCCCTCTGGAGTGGACCCTGCATTCTCTGGAGTGCACTACCCCGAGGAAGTCTAAAGCTTCACCTTCCCTTAGGCACCATAGGTATATCGAGGTAATTGATCGTCTGAAGAGCTTTCCTTTTATCATCAGATACAATGCTGCCTTAATTTTGAAGCGTCTCAGATCTGCAACCTCTTTTGATACCTTCGCTGTCTCAAGGTGGAGGATGTAAGGATCCATCTAGCTTTTTGTTACTTTGACTTCAATAGATACTTCCATATTTCTTGATTATCGACTGTTGGTCGAGTGAGTTTTTGTGGAGCCTTGCCTAAACTGAAGCGTTTGAACAAGATATCGATGAGATGGTTTTCCTCGCGACCCACATGCTCTATGCGGAAGTTTTTGAACCTTCCTATTTCATTTCGTGTTTTGGCGAGATTCTTGGTAAATAGTTCGTCTCAGGTCTTCAAATCCCCGTTGACTTGATTTACGACCAACAAGAAGTCTGATTTTACCAGCATTTCATGAGCGCTTATCTCATAGACCCAATGAAGACCGACGATCAGCACTTCGTGTTTTGCTTGGTTATTTGTAACTTCAAATTCTACCGTGACAAATTGGTAGAAGTGCTCTCCAGCCGGACTACTCAACTCAAATCCCAGCCTGGTGGTCGCCTGTTTGGACGCCCCATCGACGTGTAATGTCTAGGTCATATTGTTGGCTGGGTTCCCTTTGCGTGATTCTTCCGCCTCAGAGAAGCCTGCTAGAAAATCGGTTATCACCTGTGATTTGATGGTCATTCGGGGGACATAGTTGATGTCGTATTCACTGAGTTTTTCTGCCCACTTCAACAATCGACGAAAATTTTCCTGCTAAGCGAGCACAAATTTTAACAGGTGATCAGTGATGAATTGAATTGGGTGCGATTGAAAATATGGCCGGAGCCTACGAGAAGAGATAATTAAGATAAAAAATATCAGTTTTTCCAAAATCGGGTTCTTGGTTTCAGCGGCTGGTGTAATACACCAAGAATTGTTCCCGTCCTCCTCTTTTACTAGTACTGAGCTGATTACTTCTCGCCCGACTCCGAGGTATAACGATAATTCTTCTCCTGGCCTTGGAATTTTGAGCAGCAGCGGTGATGCTGGGGTGTTTCTTAGGTCTTTGAATGCTAACTCGCAATTGGTTGTCCATTCGAAATGCCTGTTTTTCTTTAGAGCTTTAAATAATGATGCACACTTGTCGTCCGCTTTTAAAATGAAGTGACCGAGTCTCGCTGCTCATCCGACCAACCTTAGTATCTCTTTAGGGTTCCAAGTGGAGGGTGTGTCTATGATCGCTTGAAACTTCTCTGAGTTAGCCTTCAACCCATCGACGGTTAATATAAAACCTACAAATTTGCCAGTCAATGCTCCGAAGATGCATTTCAAAGGATTAAACTGCATGTTAAATTTTTTAAGAGTTTCAAAGGTTTTTTTAGGCCTTTTATATGTTGTTTATCAATCTGCTTTTTACTATGACGCCGTTGACATACACCTCAACATTTTTTTCCTTTTGATTTAAAAATATTACATCTATGAGGCGTTGAGACGTTGCCTCGACTTTTTTTAGCTAGAAAGGCATTACAACGAAAGAAAAAATTCCTTGTGCAGTAATCAAAACAAATTTTTCAACATCGACCAGGCATATCTTTATCTGGTGATTGCCTGAGAAGGCGTCGAAGAAGCTCATCATAGAGTAGCCGATCCCTGAATCAACCAGAGTGGCAATTCTTGATAAGAGGATAGGTGTCTTTTGGACATACTACATTGAAGTTAGTGAAGTCGGCATATATTTTCCATTTGCCGTTGAGCTTTCAAACCAATACCACATTTAAGAGCGTTCGAGAGCCAAGTTGGGTATTGCACCTCCCAGTTGTAGCCCGCCTCCTTCAGCTTTTTGACTTCTTACAATATTGGTTCAACCAACTCCCTCGTGATTGATCGAAGTTTCTGTTGCAACGACCGAGTGAAAGGGATGATATTGAGCTGGTGGCATGCGGTGTCGACCGGGACTCTGGTATGCTCCGTGTTT